GACTAAATCTGTCTTGGAAGAAATATGGCCACAATCCTTGTTGGAAGATAAGATTGTGAGACTTTGTCTCTTTAGTTTAGACATATTAACAGGCGTGGCCAGTCTCTAAAGAAGGACATCATGGTTGGTAGAGTGCCAGCAAGAAAGAGAAAGCCCTAAAATTAGATAGATTGACAAGGAGCTGCAACAATGGGCTTGAACAAAGCAAGGCTTACAAGGAAGGTGCAGGATCAGGCAGTGTTTTCTTTTGTAGCACATAGGACCATTATGAGAAAAACTGGTTTGCTGACAGCTAATAACAACCACCACCATGTAGTTTACCAGTAATGTTGCTATTCTCTATGTATACCACGCATATATTTTCCCCTTTAAACTGAAGACATAGAAAATGCATACTAGATTTACAAAACTTCTTATTTGAATGTTGGTTTAACATCTACGACTCTATTGTTTCCTATTTTAAGATATATTCTGCTGACAAACATATACTGCAGTCTGTAATTGAACTAGAAATCTCCTGATCTTAAAACAAGTGTTTCAAAATGCTGTGTTTTTAATTAATGCAAAGCATGATTGTTTCTGACTTCCTAAAGATTTCCAACAGCACAAGGACATCATTTGAATGTTAGTGGTGGTATCACAAAGTCTAATTTGGCTTCACATTGATATTTCTGCATTGCTTAGTCTTCCTTAGTTTTTCTTCTAGAATCACCTTTCCCCCCGCTCTTGCATAGTTATTACTAATTAGGACAACTATACCTGATGTCATAACTAGGGCAGTGAAATCCAACACAACTGGTTTATGAAATGGGATTTTCCACCTCCCTGATTATCTTGGAAAGTCCCTCCCAGTCCAGAATTAAGCATTAGAAACACTTCAACCCTGTTGGTACACACGGGATACAAGTGTTTATGGTCCTGAGGGTTCTTTTCCAGCCCCCTAAGCCCAGCAGTCAAAATGGAAATAGTGCAAAAGACCCCTACCAGAGTTAGAATTGTATTTTCCACATAGGAATAAAACCCACTGCCATAAAAAAAATATCCTAATTGATAACAACCTTCCATTGGGTTTCCAAGATTATAACTATTTACAGGAGGAGACTGTCCATCTTTCTCCTGCTGAGCAGCTAGCTGGTGGATTCAAACAGTTGACCTTTTGGTTAGCAGTGAAACATGTAACACATCACAGTGCCAGAGCATCTTCCAAATAGGGATGTTGTTATTAGGTGCCATCAAGTATGACTCATAGAAACTCTATGAACAACTCTTCTGAACTCTGTCCTATCCTGTACCATCCCTACAATCTCTAACATACTCAAACTCAATGCTACAGTCACTGTGTCAAACCTCCTGGTCGAGGGTCTTCCTCTACCTTCCCAAGCATGATGTCCTTCTCTAAGGAATAATCTCTCCTAACAGCATGCCCCCAAATGAAGCTTCATCTTTGTCTCCAAGGAGCACTCTGGCTGCAATTTTCCCAAGACATACCTATTTATTCTTTTAGCAGTCCATGGGATATTCAGTACTCTTTTCCAATACCACAATTCAAAGGCACCAATTCCCCTTCTGTCATCTTAGTCATTGTCCAGATCTCGGATGCATAGCAAGTGAATAAAAAGGCCTTAGTCTGAATCAGGAGTACCTTAGTATTAAAACTGACATTACCTTAGTGACCCAGCTTAGTACTCAAACTGCTTCTTAATAACTTGGAGAAGTCCCTGACTGCTGTAGTCCAAATAAGGATATATAGGTCTCTATGTTAAGCACAAAATTCAGCACATTTATTTTGTAGATTAGGATTTATACTTCTATGCTTCTTATTCTTGTTGTTACGTGCGTTGAGAACAGCTCATAGTGACCCTATGACCTATCATTATCCAAATAGGGATATAGGTCTCTAAATTCAACACAGATTTTTAAATGGTTCTTTATTAATAACTTTTCTCACTTATCTGTGAAACTTCTGATCTGTTGATTGAATATAGTTTAGGATACTATTTCCAGATCATTTCCTCATTTTTAAAAATTGTGATTTGAGCGAAAGTTTACAAAGCATATTGATTTTTTTAAAAAAAAATTCTAGTTCAGTCATTTTTAAAGTATGATTAGCATCAGGTTTCATCTCAGATGTACTTAATCAGAAGCTCTGGGAATGAGGTTCAGTGATCTGTGCCCTTTTGGGTGGTGATTCTATTGTAGGATAAATGTAAGAAAACACTAAATTCAGCACATTTACTTTGTGGGTTAGGATTTAGACTTCTGTTCTTGTTGTTAGGTGTCATCAAATTGAATACAACCCATAGTGACCCTAATGAACAGGTGACCTGAATCGTATCCTATCTAGTGCCATGCTCATCAACTCTGACACACTAGAACTCATTGCTGAAGTCACTATGTCAATCCATCTCATCGGGGTCTTCCTCCTCTTCGCTGACCCTCTATGATTCTAAGCATGATGTCCCTTTCAAAGGAATAGCCTACTCTGTTTTAGGTCCAAAATATGAGAGATGAAGCTTTGCCATCTTGCCTCCAAGGAGTACTCTGTCTCTACTTTTTCCAAACCATGTTTGTTCTTTTGGCAGTCCTTGGGATATTTAGCACTCTTCTCCAGCACCATAATGCAAAGGCATCAATTTTTCTTCTGTTGTCCTTATACATTGTCCACCTCTCTGATACATAACAGGTGACTGAGAAGACCATAGGTGGCCTGAACCAGACACCTTAGTCTTCACTCTGACATCATTGCTTGTTAGCAGTTTGGACAGGTACCTGAAAGTGGACTTGCCCACGAGTATGTCTCCTGATTTCCTGACTGCTGGTATCAAGGGTGTTAAATGTTGATCCAAGCAAGATGAAATGATTGGCAGCTTCAGTCCTTTCTCCTTCCATCATGATATCATCTATCACAGGACTGTTGGTCCTGTGGTGAGGACCTTTGTTGTCATATAAACACAATTATTAAAATTTGGAAACTATTAGTCAGCTATAGAATCCTATTAAAGAATGTTGCTGTGTACTATGGAGTCAGAACCAACCCATAGCTGAACCTCTAGTGGGTTTTCAGAGGCAGTTAATCACAAGGGAGCAGAGTGCCTAGCCTTCTCCTGCAGAGCAGCTGGTGGATTCAAACCATGTGCCTTCGGGATTGCAATGCAGCTTCTTGCCTCTAGGCCACCAGTGCTCCCTTTATTAAGGAATAGATACAGTACCATTCAGCGTTTGCTCCAGGAACACTTTGTTTCATTTTCTCTAGGAAACTGTGATTTGCATTGACAAAGATGAAACCTTGGTTGGACCTTTGAGTTCCTGCTGCTTTTTAAGACAGGCCTTAAGACAGGACAGTGTCTTGGCAGGCAGTCTGCATTACAGATTTCAAGATTGGTGGTTTTTTTGGGTTGTTTTTGTTTTTTTTTCTACTTCTAAGCTCATAGACCTATTTGCAAGCAAAAATGCAGCTGTAGTGAGTTCTTATAACTTTGACATTTTTTACTTTTAAGGACAGAGTGTGCACATTTATGTGAAATATTTATGTAAAGCTCTGTAGCCTACTAAGCCTAAAGCTCTAAGAACCATCCTTCGAGAAATTTGGGCGTTTATTATGTATTCTCCTTGAAGAAATTTGAATGCCTTGGGTTCTGTTCTGCAAATGAAATGAAGGCATTTTCAAGCTTTATCTCACTATGTCAGGGTGGTGAAATTGAGCTGTATCACAACTGGGAAATGGGGAATACCATGGAATTGCTGAGGCTGCTTTTTTGGTCTGGCGGCTGCAAGCCTCTCAATCTAGGCAGAGAATTCCTGTAAATGGTCTTTCAACCTAGTCAGAACTCCAGGTCCTTGCACTCTCTACCCCTGGGGTGGGGGTGGGGGTGGGGGTGAGATTTACAACTGTATATTGCAACTGGACCAAAATAGTGAAAACTCCCTACCTGCGGCACCCCCTGGTACTCTTTATTCTTGATCAAAGAAACTTCGTAGTTTGTTCTAGTGTTAGTTCCACCCTCCCTGCCCTCTAAGGACTGTCTGTCTAACTGAGCCTGAAAGAGAAGCGTATCATGGTAATCTACTCTCAGGTGTCTACATTCCTGAAAAAGTCCATTTTCTCTTTTATTATCTACAAAATCTTGGTTAACTAGCTGCATTCACCAGACATTTATTTTCTGGACTTTCTCAGGTGACTGCTTTGTGCCCTTCTCCTGACTGTTTTTACTTATAAAGGGGCAAATCACCCACCCACCCGTCCCCCATATTGAGGCGGGGAGCATCGGTCTTCTCTTTCCTTGATACTCTCAAATAGCTGAGAGAGGAAGAAAAGGTGGGTCTCTTTTTAAAACTTGCGTTACATGCACACTCCAGTTATCGACAGCCTCGAGGCCTTTGAATCCAGCCGACCACAGGGTAGGGCAGAGAAGGTGGGGCTGCAGGCGGGAAGAAGGCGGCGCGCAGCGGTACCTAGTGGCTCTGCCTGGTTGCTCCATGCAGAGTACGTGGCACTGCCCGTAAGGAGAAGGGGAGGGAACATGGCTTTCTCCTCCCCACGAGAAGACTTGGGGACATCCTGGAGGGGCGGGAGAGAGTATCCTTGAGATCAGAGCGTCCTTTCCGTGGATCTGAGCAGAAGCTGAGTGGCCTGGCAGCAGTCAACGCCAGATCAGCTCCTCACTAGTATATACCCGGAGCCAGAGCTGAGCTCTGCGGGAGGAGCCGGGGACCCTGTTGCGGCCGGGTAACGGCACTGCGCATGCGCAAAGCTGGGAGCGAGCCACAGGGACTACAGCTCCCAGATGAGCCGCACGGGGGCCGCAGGCGCCGAGCCCCTGGCGCCATCTTGAAATCTGATCCTCAATCTGTGGGACTTCGCGTCAGCAGCAGGCGGCGGCAGCGGCGGCTTCGGCACCCGGACTCAGCCTGCGAGTGGAGGACGTGGAGGACGCGGCGGCTGGCTGGAGAGACTGCTGTAGGAGACATGGCAGGTCCCCTGGCCTGCTTGCCTAGCTGTCACTCAGCATCCCTTTGAGGCGTTCCCGCGCCCGCCCCCTCCCCGAGGGGCGGGGCTGACACTGGTACCCAGAGCCGGCGCGCGGGGCGGCGGGGCTGCACCGGGTGAGCGGAGACCCTGCAGGCGGTGCTATGCAGCCCGGGTACCACCGAGGCGGGAGCGCGAGCGCAGCCGGGAGCGAGTGAGTGGAGCGAGGCCGCAGCCGCCGCCGCCTGTGGGAAGATGAAGGAGATTTGCAGGATCTGTGCCCGGGAGCTGTGTGGCAACCAGCGGCGCTGGATCTTCCACACTGCGTCCAAGCTCAACCTGCAGGTTCTGCTTTCTCACGTCCTGGGTAAGGATGTCTCCCGCGATGGCAAAGGCGAGTTTGCTTGCAGCAAGTGTGCTTTCATGCTCGATCGGATCTATCGATTCGATACGGTTATCGCTCGGATCGAAGCCCTTTCTATCGAGCGCTTGCAGAAGCTGCTGCTGGAGAAGGACCGCCTCAAGTTCTGCATTGCCAGCATGTATCGGAAGAATAATGACGAGTCTGGCGCGGAGGCCAAGGCGGGGAATGGGACGGTTGACATTTCCGGCTTACCCGAGGCGCGATACTCCGCACTGCTCCAGGAAGACTTTGCCTATTCAGGGTTTGAGTGTTGGGTAGAAAATGAGGATCAGTTTCAGGAACCACACAGCTGCCATAGCTCGGAAGGCCCTGGAAACCGACCCAGGAGATGCCGTGGCTGTGCAGCCTTGCGGGTTGCTGATTCTGACTATGAAGCTATTTGTAAGGTACCTCGAAAGGTGGCCAAAAGTATCTCCTATGGCCCCTCTACCAGGTGGTCCACCAGCATTTGCACAGAAGAACCAGCTTTGTCCGAGGTTGGGCCACAGGACTTGACAAGCACAAAGGGACCTCCCGATGGAGAGAGCATGGAGGAAGGCACACCAGGCTCCTCTGTGGAGTCTTTGGATGCGAGTGTCCAGGCTAGTCCTCCACAGCAGAAGGATGAAGAGGCGGAGAGAAATGTAAAGGAACTTGTAAAGTGTGACTGTTGTTCAGATGAACAGGCGCCACAGCATCTGTGTAACCATAAACTGGAGCTTGCTCTTAGCATGATTAAAGGCCTTGATTATAAACCCATCCAGAGCCCCCGAGGGAGCAAGCTTCCTATTCCAGTGAAATCTAGCCCACCTGGAGCCAAGCCTGGCCAGATCATGACAGACGGAGTGAGTTCCGGTTTCCTTAACAGGTCTCTGAAACCCCTTTTCAAGGCACCTGTGAGTTATCCCTTGGAGATGTCAGACCTGCAGGAGCTGTGGGATGATCTCTGTGAAGATTATTTGCCACTCCGATTCCAGGTATATAAAATGGCCACACAGTGCCTTTTTGATTAGTGGGGCCTCAGGCTTCACCTGCTTTGTCTAGGTGAAGCCTAATAATAGAACTCTGAAATCGAGGAAATGAATCCGTGAACCCATTGAGGGCCATCTTCACATTCACATAATTTCACACCTCTTTGTAGCATCAGTTGACCTTCCCTGCTCTGGATTTTTTTTTAAGATCAAGATTTCAGATTCTTTTTTACTTTTTTTTAAAAGGAAGACTTTTAACATTATTTCTGACACTGGAATGCTTATCTCCCTCCTTTAAAGAAAAGATTTATAAATGTTTTCTCCCATTGGCATTCTGCAAGAAATTAGTTCATTTCCCTGGGTTAATTCTTTATCCCGATGTATTAGGGAAAATGTGTTATCCTATCAGCAAAATATTGTAACATCTGGGCAAGGTTTATGATAATTAATAGTTATTTGAATACAATGATGGCTTATTCATAAAAGAGATTTTGAACTAAAACATTGACATTTACAATGAATGTTAAGGCAAACATTGTCTTACCAGTTATCTCCACACCTCTCTCCTGGTTTATGTTTGCTGTTAAGAAAGGATTTGTTGATTGTGTCAGGAAAGTTCCAGTCATTATCTTCTTTGGAATTTCTTAACTACTAAAGGTGGCAGATGACCTTCATCTCTCTCAGTGATTTTTATACAGCTTTTTAAATTCAGCTATATACAGAGATCCTGCAGATGCTGTTGTATTTCTATAGCAATTCTAAATGCAGGATTTGGTTAACTTTGTGAAACAATCTAACAGATTTCATGTGATACAAAATCTTTAGTTAGAATACAAAATTAACAATCTAAAAGATATTTTTGGAAAGCCTGCTACTTTTGAACACTAACTCTAAAATTTAAAGCTTGATTTACAAAGGAAATTATTGATTGTCACTTTAAAAAGTAACTATGGTTTTGTGGGTGGTTGTATTTGTGCGTAATATATAACAGACACTTATACTTTACCATAACATATAAAATTTTAAAATTTGTACACAATTCTCAAACAGTATATATTTACATCTTTTAAAAATATAAAAATGAGGAAATACTAAGCATCTGTATGCCTACTACTGGTGCATTCCTTTGCTGTTGATTCCTTTCCTTTCCATGAAGCCTCACAACTAAATTTGGGTTTTATAGTTGGCTCTATGGCCAGATAGAGATGTCATCAATTAAACATGATCTATTCACAATAGATTCTGTAAGTAGCCTATGCAGAGTGCATGGGGAAACAAGCTTTTGGTTCTTCTCAGATATGATCAGTCAATGAAATACCAGGAAAATTTTAGATGCAACAGGAAGAGTTTCTCCTCTCCATATTTAATGACATTAATGAAAATCACTATCTTTTTGGTCTTTGATTCATCAGATTTGAGAGTTGGGAAGAATTTCAAAGCTTATCTTAGGCAAGCTGTCATGTAAGATAAAATTTATGGTTGAAATATCTTAGGGAGAGTCAAATATTCCATCAAAGATTCAGTCTCTTAAACATAACCTTTTTATTCTATATATTAAATGAGATTGCCCTTTTTTATAACCTGAGAGTTCTAGGAAGATTCTTCTTTCTGTGAAGAAAATTGGCATGCAGATGAGCACTCCACCTGTGATAACTGCTTTTAGGTCAGGCTTCTCCATGTCACTGAATTTGGACATTAAGAAACTAAAACTAGAAAATAATAGTTTGTGACCTTTCTTTTGTCCCCTAGCTTACAATCTTTATGTGTTTAACAATAAAACATTAAGAGGAGCAAGAAAATACCGTTCAGCTTGAAAATTCATAGCAATTACAATGACATTTTTCTCCAGTACTTAAGAATGGAAGCAAAAATAGATAAATTGAGCTCCAAGATTGTAAATAATGTGTATTTTTAATACCAATGTGTTTAAGATTCACTTAAGCTCCTTAAGGGCTGTTGAGCCTTATGGCAAAGCTAAGTAGGACAAAGGCAGACTGTTGTTGATTTGTTGTGGTTTTTCCCCCCCTCAGCTTCAATGAATAAATGTGGAAAGAATAGAAATATTGTGAATTATTTTTAGTACTTTTTTAGTTCTTAAAAAGAACTAAGAAAATAATGCAATTTTCCCCCCTTTAATTATGCTACAAATATGAAGAAAACCTCTTATTTTAAAGAGTGATTGTAAGGTCAATTTGATTGTTTTGTTTTAATCCTCCACTTCCCCATTCTCTGCACCATTAAATAGTCCATTAACATTTCCTTTCCTAACTGCCCCCCCTTCTTTCTTATTTTAAAGAAGAAATGAACAACAGCAACAAAGCCCAAACAATAAGTAACACTGTAATTGTTCTGTTTACTAATTTAATGGAATAAGGCAAATTGATTTATTTGGCTTTTACTATTCGGGGAACTCAAGGCTATTCATGTATTTAACAAAAGCTTTGAAGCATTATTCTAGTTGGTGATTTTCTTCCTTGTTGTCTGTCCCTAGGAAAGCTGTGATAAGAGGGGTGTGCTCTCTTAGTAAACAGCATTTCCAAGACCTCTGGCCCATGTGCAATATCCCTTTCCATCTAAGAAAGGGAAACCTTTCTTTTTTTCTACCACAAGCCTTGCCTTGCCAGGGTCTGCTCCTTTCTGATTCTGCTAAGTAAATGCTGGTCAAAATTAGTCAGCATTTACTTTCTTACCAGTTGATGATGATTTTAATCTTTCAAGTCTATGGCACAGTGTGGGGAAGACTAGGAGAGTCTGTGAAGAAGAGTTTATTGATTGCCTGAGAGTCTTCTGGCTGAGGAAAGGTTTTTTGCCCTAACTCTGAGTCAAAAGTGACTTAATTTATTACCACATTCTTTTAGTATGGAGAGTAACACTGACTCAACCAAATCAAGTATCACTGATTTCAGGCCCTGAAAAAAATCTTCATAGAGAGTGATTGTTTCAAATACTTAGTGCTTTACAGGAATTCATGATGGGTTGTGGATTCTGTAGAACTTATCAAGCTTTATTTTGGCTGGCATAAAGGACATTTCTCTGGGAGGTAAAACAAAATACTAATGTATTAAGAAAAAGAATAAGCAGGTATCAGTATGTGGAGGGGTGTGTGTGTGTGTGTATTCAGCAGCAACCTTAAAATTCATTAGTAATTTCAGAGCCAAAGAGTGGCATAGGAAAGTACATAATCTGATCTCCTCTAAATCCATTTTGGCATGAGAAATACATGATTCCATAAACATAGTGCACTGACTAACACACCTCAGAAGAAAGATGGGCAGTATCCTGTTAACATTTAAAGATTTGGAAGCCTGTGGAAGGGTCAGTATGGGTCTGAACCAGCACAAGGCTATCAGTGAATGAGCAGCCTTTACATTTTTTAAAGCAACAAACTCACTCTTTCAACTGAATTTCCTTTTGTCACATAGAAAAGCATTTCCTGAGAGGTAAACTAATAAACAATTAAGGAAAAAAGAAAATAACTTTTCCTTCTCTAGGTCAATACATTTTGCTCTAACCCCAGGCTATCCTGTGAGGTAGCTACTTTTTATTTTTTTCTTCTCATTTGTGGGTGTTGAGCACTTGATATGTGCCAACCTTGCTCAGAGGAACTGTGAATGGAAACTGCTCCTTGAACTTCAAAGGCTTAGTATGAAAAGGAGCTCTGGTGGTGAGGGAGTTACCCTGCTACCCCAAAGTCTAGACCTCTCTGTTGATTCAAATACACCAGCTGGTGCTTGGGAAGAAAACGGGTCATGTCCTTCTGCGCTCGCTCTTTACAGACTCTGGAAACCTTTGGGAGAGTCAGGATCGGCAACAGGTTCTAACTCAGTGGCAGTCAGAGAGAGAAACTATGAGAAAAGAATGTAAAATGTTACTTTTACCTTGGTTGCGTCTTTATGACAATTATTTTAGATCCAGTGAGTTAAATAAGATACTAAAATGTTATCTATTTTTACCTTTTTTCAGTGAAGCCAATTAAAAAAGATGACTTTCTATGTTGCTAGCATTGTATTTCTCCTGGAAAGTGCTACCCCAGCCACAGAGGCCTTTTTCTTTCCCACCTTCATCTCCATTGCAGGGCTTTTCCATTAGCTGTTTCCTCTGCTGGAATTTTTTTGTTGATCTTTGCCGGAATGTCCTTTGTCATTCACATGTGTTTAAATGCCACATCATAGAGACCTTTTCAATCACCTTAAGATCACTGACTAGCCTGCATGACACCTATCACTTACCTACTGTTTTGTGGGTTCCCTTTTTATTCCTGCTCCCTACTCCTGTCTACCAAATGGAAGTTCCAAGAGCAGGAACCTTATTTACCATGCTCGGCTCTGTGTCTCCAGAATAGTCCCTAGCACATGGTTGGTCCTCAGCACATGTGTATTAACTGAGTAGATAAGTGAATGAATAAAAGTAATATTATACTGCCACTAATTAAAGCTAATGACACTCATTTTATAGTAGCTATAACTAAAGCTAATGGGCGAGTTTCCTTTTTTTCTGTTTAAAATAAGTAATGAGGTCTAAAAAAAAAAATAGTGAGGTCTAAAGCATAGGGGAGAACTTTAGGTTCTCCGTCCACCAGCTTGTCAGAATTGTTATGATTACTTTTTTTTAATTTCTTCTCTTGCTTTACTGTCTGTAACTGAGAGTATTTCTTGATAATTTTGCTTTCTAGATTTCAACAGACAGAACAATATAATGAGAGCAAAATTTGGCTTAAGACTACAGATCTGGGTTGGAATTTCAGATCCAGTACAGTTTTACAGCTTTAGGGACTTTTTATCAACCCTAGCTTTTTCAGCATTAAATAGGGGGTATAAAAGAATATACTCCTTACAGTATGAATTTGTCAAGATTAAGTGAAAGCTTTCATATAGCCCCTAAGGAACTATCTAGTAAGTATTTCTTACTACTAATACTTTGAATCTGTTGATCTGCTAGATGTTCAGAAATAGCTGTGGATTTATTGTAGCAAAACAAAATCTCTAGTCTATACATTTTTAGCTTGT